ACTCGAAAAGAAAGATCTATACATATCACCAAGCGCATTATGCATTTAAGGATTAAATACACTCTGTACAGCCTTATCTATCATCTCGTATATCTTCCAAGATAAGAGTCCATAGCTCGTGAGTTTAGGGTCCCGTTAAGGTGAGATAAGTTTTGAAAGAGGTTGAGAAAAAAAGCAGTAGAATGGCCGGAGGCGAGGAAATCCACGGAGCCATCGCTCAACTCATTTTCTTAACTCGTGGTAGGCGGGTTCGGCAAAGGAAGTTGGTTTCGCAAAAAACTTCCAAGAGGAAGCATTACGCGGTAATTATCGGGGTGGGATGGTCTGGTCCGTGGCGGGATTATCGTAAAAATAGCGGCGTATTATCGCGGATCCGGCTGAGTCTCGTTCGGTGGTTATTGCCCGACCGTGATAAGCTTTAACGAGACCGCGTGAAATTTTTTTTTATTTCTTTTATTTTCAACGATAGCAACGCGAGGCTTGTTGTTGGTCGCGTGACCGCGAAAACGCGCAATATCTGCTGGCACGCCGTGTCACGTTTCGGGGATTTATCAGCGTTCGGTTGACAGGGAAAATAATGAAGTCGGGTGCACCGAAAACCGGCCAAATCTGTCTGTTTCCCCGGTCACGGAGGAGCGCTCGTTTTTCCAGTTGCTCCCGATTGGCGTGCATCTGCATATTTAAATCGAACGCCAACCATTCACTTTTCCGAAACGTCCATTACGCGACCAGTTAAACGGGACGAATGCAACGCGCATAAATTTCTTTTGAGCAGGGGTCAAAACCGGATAATTTGCCACGGCTGATTTATATGGATTGTTTACCATTGTTTTCCCACCGACGTTGCTTTTTCGAGCCTGCTTTTTATTTGCTTTCACGGGTAAATTACGGAGCTTCTGATTGTTTCGGGGAAATTGATGTTTTAGCCACACTTTCGGACTTTTCCAAATATACCCATTTATTTAATGGAATAAGTACTCTGCTATTAAAACAAATCATTATCAAAAGTTGCCATTAATATTTCCATAAATATAAAAATTAATTTTTTAATTTTTTTGTACTGATTTTGATTGATATTAGTATTAGGCTTTGCTAAAAATATATCAAAATTTTCACTTTAAATATTCAAAAATAAACGTTCATAAATATCTGAAATCGGTTGATACAACCAGTTTTAAAATTACGACCGAACTTTTTTTTTTATATATTCATATTTCTTAATTTGAAGAAATCGAAATTGATGATCGACACATGAAATTTTTCATATAACGAACGTAATATGTTGTGTTTCATTAAATTGAAAACTGAGCATGTGAATTATATATTCTGTTGAGAAAATTGATCAATTTATCGTACGTGCTTATATTAAATGTATTATCAAAGTTTGCTAGCGAGAATTCATCGTCGAAATAAATCTGTCTGTCGAGAACACAAATTTAATCCTACGGGGGTCGGCGGTCGAGAGTTAACTCTCCTTTTATTAAATATAGAGCAACTTCCGGTGAAGCGAATATAATGTTGCCACACCCGGAAATTTCAGCCGTGTCACGTTCTATTTCGTTCGAAAGAAGCTTTCCCCTTTTGCGTCAACACCAGGCCAAACGATACTCGAGGCTTCGAAATTTCATGCCCAGCTCTCTGTTTGCTTTCCTAGCTGTCCTGCAAAATAATTTCCCCGAAATTTGAGGAAATTGAGAGGAATCAACAGTGAATTAAATTCAGGTGGTTCAGAGGATAAAATCAAAGCAAATGTTAGATACAGAACTGAATTCCTCGAATATCTACCGTTTAAATTAATATTAGGCTCTTTCATAGATAATTCCATTTCTTTTTTATTACTATTAATATTTTTTCAAATTTATAATATCAGATAATTAGACATTGCATTATTAAATACCGCAAATTGCACAAGGCAGGTGGATGGTACGTGCGTAATTTTTGTAATACATAACAATTTTAATATTGTTTGATAACTGTACAATATCCAGCATGGTAGACCTTCTCTTCATTGGTATAGCGTTTTCACGAGAACAGGCGAGAGAACAGCTTTACGAGGCAATATATTGAGTACCGATCACCAAACACGTGTCAGGGTGTTTTCATTTTAGACGTGGTGTGTCGTAAAGGGCTAAAGTTTTAACCAATTCCACCCTCGATTGAATGTAAAACGAAAAAGGAAGGAGAACAACATACTCCACCTTTTCTCTGCTCTTTTTTCCTCCTGATGCGCTGATGGTTCCCTCGTTCCAAGTAGAAACACGGTTAACCTTTTTCTCCTGTTTGCGAATTTCAAGCAACTTTCGTGCCACAGTTTGCGCAAACGTGCGCTATCTCGCCGTGCCGTGTGTACATATTACAAGCTACACTTGCCGGGAAAAAAGTCCGAAACCTGGACTTCCTCACGCCCCTGTGTACCCGCTGCGAACCAATAAAACCTCCAGGCTAGATTCTTTTTTACGAGCATTTGGAGAGCGGCAGATTTTTCCTCTCTTTGTTCGATACCTCCTATCTGTCCCTGTGTTCGCATTTTAAAACCACCATGATAAATCTTAGTGCATATATACTATATTTACAATGTTACTTTCGCCCCCGATCTCCCCCTACTTACGAGGACAGCATAGTCCACGATTCGCTTTTAAATTTTTTTACCACGTCAGTCCATTTTGGCTTTCGCTTCGAATTTAAAAGAAATTCACCTGTCTCGAAAGTTACACTTGATAATGGAAGGACGTTAATCGAGTCTCAGTGGTCGAACAATCGGTCGCTGGGTGTCGAAATCGAATTCCCGGATAGAATAACAGAATTTTCATCGATCGTCCACAGATCAGCGACTCTATTTCCTGCTGGTGCTTCCTGCGGAAGGAGGTACGTTCGAAAAAAATAAAAAATAAAAAATAAAAAGATGAAAAAGGAACAAAAAATTGGCGAACCAATTAAGCGGCGAGTAATAATGACAGGGAGGGAAAGTACTGATCGATTGCAACCAGTCTGCGAACAGCCGTGTACGTAGAGAGACGATCGGAGGTGAATAGGAGCGAGAACGCGAATGATAATTAACCGTTTCGCAAATACGCTCCGCTCTGGACGCATTCTATAAGCCAAAAACCTCGATAGCAAATCGGGAACGGGTTCAAAGTAAAGCAAATAGAGAGGCGCGCAGTTCTGGACGCGTAAGGGAATTTGCGTGTACAACGCGTAATGAACGTTGTCGAGAGGCTTGATATGTCGATTACCAGGACTGCGTCGATTAATACGCCCGGGCCAATCACCGATTTTCAACGGTCCGTCAAAACGAGTCGTGATTTTGTTGTCCCTTTCGTCGTTCCACCCAACGTGCTGTTTTTCGTTGCTTGGTGCTCGGTGTCGTTCGCACTGGCTGTCGTATGAATTTAATACAGATTTTCGTTTTCACTTCAAATAAAGCGTGTAATTTAATGTAGGGGTCCGCTGATTGCCTCGATTCGTTCCGATCAGTAATTAATATTGTAGTTAAGAGAGGGTCAAAAGGGGTTCAATATGGCAATTTGATTTTCGAATATTGCGATTGGGATATTTTTATTTAGAATGGAAGTGTTGTAAATATTTAATAAAATTATAGAGGAAAGGTGGTATTATGGGCAAATTATTTAATATTTAGTTCGTTATTTTCATCCCCTATCTATAAAAAGAATTTTATTTTGCCGGGGGAAATGCTGAAAATTTGCTGGGTTGTTAGTGGAAATTCGAAAATTTCATTTCAGTTTTTCAGCGGTGTCCGTGATTTTTCGCGATGGCAGAATCGATTCAGCGGCGGATTGGCGGAGCACAATTTCACGTATTTGCCGATTCCTCCGGGCGAAAGCGAAACAAACGGATCCCTTGTGTTTAATCATCTGCCTCGGCCCGCGTGTCTCCCTCTTATCGACGTCACTGTCCATCGAGTTACCGGCTTAATCGTTACAGTTCCCGAGAGATTGAAAAAAACAAATTAGACTACTTCGCAGCCAGATTTTTCGCGACTAATTCGGTAGGGAGACTCGTACGAGACAATGAGGGTACGTTTAACCCTTTCACCCTAGAGGGAACTGTTTCACAATGTACGATGAATAATTGATAAAATGTGTATCGAAGTGTAGCCTTGTTAATCTTTGAAGTAGAATAATATATCAGAGAATTAAACAAATATATATTATTCAACAGAATTGTTATTCTTATTTTTGTTTTGTAAATTGTGGGAGATTTTGATCTTTCATTTGGTTTCAGTTTATTTTTTTTTTTCCGGATAATTTGTAGGTATCGTAACTTTCGTCGTTCGTTTATTGTCTCGTTTCCCAAAAATAAACGTAGCTATTGGGTTCGTCTGAACAATATTGCTTCAATAAAATACCTACCTGGTGAAGTCGGGGTCTCACCTGCGAGATTACCGTGTCCAACGGATAAGCAACGGCTTTCCTCTTTCGTGATTGGAAAGCAGGATGATATCGCGTTTCGTCCAATAATGTAGCTGCCATCTTGGATTAAAGTATTATCATGGGATAACAGAGATAGCGTTCCAAAAAAAGCAAACAGACAGAACGATTTCGGCGATTAGCTATTTCTTCGATGACACGAATTCATAAGATATAACTATCCTACAATAACACTTATAGTATATCAAATTAAGAACTAAGATTTGATAAAAATGATTATATATAATTATTTTATGAATTGTGTTATTGAATGCAGAAATTTATATTGGCATAACTAAGCAGGGGTCAGGGTGGACCTGCCTCTTTTAAAAATTTGGATTTGATTGAAATTCCGAAAGTTTCAACCTTCAGAATTCCAAAATTTCAAGATCCTGAAACTTACCAATTCTAAAATACCATAAATTTTCCAAATTTCAAAATTCCAGATTAAAAGATCTAAGTTACGCCAATGAAAAAATTTGTAATATTTTATTTTCTCCAAGCAGCTTCATTCTAAATCTTCACCTGAAACGTTGGCAAGGGGACGTTGAAATAAATAATCATACACGAGAATTGCACAAAAAACGTTAATATAATAACAATAATAATATATATAACGTATATGCATGTATACATGGTTCTTATTAACAATTTCATCATTTTGCTTTCCCTAGACTACCCAAAAGTGTCACTGGAAGTGGCACGAGAATCCGTCTCGTTCCTCTGATCAAACATTTTTCTCTAAGAAAAATCATTCTCACGATTTCCATGAAACGAGCCGGTTTCGTTGCATTTCCCCTAACCTTTCGGCACGTTCGCCGGTATAATGTAATATTTATAATATATTAACATCTTTTTTTTTAATCTTCTGGACTCGCTTGTATTCGCGTCGCTTATCTAAAACGCAGTTACAAAAAAAGTTGCCCTAAACCTTTTTTTTTTTTATTTCTTACTTATATTTATATTTTCTTCGAAAGCTATTATAATTTACACGAGGGATCTTCAAAATTTCTATGATCCTTTACAGAAAAATTGTAAAGATTCTAAATATATATTAAGATAACTCAAAAGGTGTTATATTAATTTTGATTGATATTCTTCTTTTGATAAATTTTCTTTATTAATAGGAAAAATTTGGAATTTTTGAAAATCCCCACACTAAGTGTGTCCACGTGTTTGACGTATAACAAATACATGTTGAATGTGGAAGAACGATAATACGTGTGTGTCCGAGACGGTGATTCGAATATTTACAATTACGTGTCCACGTGGAATTAGGGCACCTAGGAATGACCGTGGGGTTAATTATCGCTCTAGGTGTTTTCCCATTGCCTACATTGCTTACGGATATTCGATCGATGTTTTACGACTATCGTACATACTTCGTTGATGAACTGGAAAGCCATTCGATCGGTCGAAGGCTATTTCGAGTATCGAGAAACGCTGGAAATGACTGGCAGTATACGCGAGTAGGTTCGCAATAAAAATTTTGTGACAACAGGGAACGATGTTTGGGTCCCCCGGTATTTACGAGTACAATTCTTTCTGTGTGTATCTATGTATGTCTGGCAGTATTCTGTCTCGTTTGTGTGTTTGATTATTTTATAGGGGCACATAAAACACCGTACAATTTAATCCGACGTGATAGTCTAAACTCGTCGCAAGTTTAACTTGCCAACTTGTCAACGATCATAATTATACGAAACATTGATTTACTCTAATCAACCTATCAAACTAAGCTTTCGAAATTAATAATATTACGATACGAAGTTATATGGAGACTTTGGCGTAATTAGAACTTTTTTCTTGGGTGGGCCTGGTTCTTCAGGAATTTTGAAATTCTGGAATTTCCAGATTAATTGGAAATTTTTGGATTCTGAAATTTGGGAAATTTTACATTTAAAAATTCTGAAATTTTGGACTTGTAGAGTTTTGAAATTTGGAAATACTAAAATTTTGGAATTCTGGAATTAAAAAATTCTAAAATTAGAATTAAAATCCACATTTTCGGGATTCCAGATCCACTCTGTCGTCTAGTTACGCCACTGCTTGGAAAATCTAAAGAATACAATTCTCAAAACATGAGTGCTTACTGTTAGAATAAAATGGCAGTATTATTTTGTGAATAGTAGTGAATAATGGTAGAGTCTATTTCTTTCTCTTTCACATTAATTATATAATATTAGAACAAACATTTTAAACTAAAACAATCCCTTCAACAATCTGTTGTTATTCTTGGTACAAAAATTTGAGTACCTAAAATCATTTCGACTGTAGTATACAGTACGTGCTCGAAGTACAAACACGAAGTGTGAAATAAGGAAGAAAGGGGGTGGAGAACGGGCGTGGAGTTAACAAAAGTCACCAGAACTGGAAAGCAACCCCCTGGAGACAACGCACGATTCTCGTACGCAGAAGAAAAAGGGAAAAACCATCAGGGATGCTTGCTTCTTTCTTCTTCGGGGTTTATTTTTTCACGGCCGACCAAGTCGAAGAAAGCGACGACGCTCGCCAAGGAAAAAGCCTCGCAACGCGAAAGCGAGCTTGACGAACAGGGTTGGGTGTTTGCTCGACAGGGAAAATAGGGGGATGGGAGAAAAAAATGAGAAGTGAAACTTTACGATCCTTAACCCGTGAACACGAACGTAAAGCAGCTTTTACGACATCCAGAATGAAACTTTTCATTCCGTGACGATACGATACACAGTCGTAGGAGAAGTGGAAACGGCATCGAGGATTAACTTGGCCGGAAATAAACCGTCGTTGCAAGCGCGAATGTATCGAAAGCTCGATAAAAATAATAGATTGTCGCGCGAGAATCGTTGAGAAGAGAGATGTAACAAATCGAATTGGATGTCGAAATGGACGATTCAGACTGGATTGATGCGATAAAAGATGTTCAATCCTTGTAGGATCGTGCTTTAAAAATTACGTTAAAGATCATCAGACAGGGGTGAATTGGGACTTTAATTTGTACCTGGAGATTCGCGACACGAGGGGTACTAATTTTAATTAATTAGGCCTACCAGATATTTTCCTGAATTCCCGATGGTCAGTCCACCCCTGCCATCAGATAATAAAAGTCCATACTTTATGTCTCAGCAAAGCAATTCTCTAAATGGAATGTCTTACCTGAATGAAACAAATAATTTTCTGGTCCTTTGATTCTAATACTATACTTCAATCCTCTATGACAATTAACAGAAAGGATTTTTTCTTAGATCTTGTATGAAAACGTGTAGTTATTGATTGCATAATGGTCCCTCGAAATTCAATTGAATATCTTGAAAAAGTATGGATATTGCGAGTTGAACGATTTTTCCAGGAAAAAACTGTCGGTGAATGTTGACGGAATACTCGTGTTTGTTGTTCAGAAAGAATAGTCATAGAGGATTCAAGTGAGACGTGTTCGTTGGACGGACATCCACGCCGTGAAAGATCTCGGAATCTCTCGCTTCAGAAGCTTTTTCATAAAAGGAACTGTTGTCTCTCGAACAGAGAGGCACCCTCTTTTGTTGGTACATCTAACATTACACGCGAGGAATGTAATCTAGATGAAGAGCTTATCTCATGATAAGGCCGGTGCCGAGCGATCGTTCGTCTTCGTTTTGCGCAGCTTTACCGTTGCGAATATATTTGTCCTGGAAAAATGGAATGGTCAATCGAGTTTAACAAACTGTACGCAATTGTTATTGAAACTTTGGTCGACTGAAAGTCTGCGATTACGATGCAATGATTTAAGGGATTGTAAAAACGTTGAGTTAATTATTGGCGTAATTAGGATGTTTTTTGAGACGGACCTAGGTTCCTTAGCTTTATTAGATTTGGCTCTTTCAGCTTCTCCTAAATTTTATGAGAGAATTTTAGAATTTTGGAGTTTTGGAACTTTAGAACTTCGGAATTTTTTAATCATAGAATTTTGGAATTTTACAATTAGGTCCACCCTGACCTAATTACGCCAATGGAATTGACCCTTTCGTGATCAATCTAGGTACCACGAAAAATTTAATATTTTAAATTCCTATTTTGAAAATATAAGTCAACATAAATAATTTTAATATTCCTTGGGATTTCCATTTTCTGAATATTTAAAAATTTGCATTCGCTTAAAGAAAAAGTACTGGTTATTTTTATGCAAAAATCCCTTGAATCGTTGTTCGTAAATTTCCGCAATAATCGGGAAGAGAGGCTATTTGAACGTTTATAAAATTTCTCTGTTGTTGCAAATCTGCGTTATAGCGTAACAAAGAACAGCGTGTAACAATTGGGCAAACATTGACACGATATTTCATGCGGAACGCAAACGTAAATAAAATAGAAAGAGGTCCTTGGAGAATTACCAGAGAAACAAAAGAATTACTGTTCGAATTCTATCGGAACGGAAGCAACGAAATTTAACAAAACAAAGCGTTTTGCAAACAAAACTTCAAGCTGTACAGATACACGAATTATTCGATAAAGACTATAAAATTTTTTAACAATGATTTTACTGTTTCAATAACTGCAAAATCCAGCTAATAGGAAATAATGTCAAGTATTAAACGAGCATAGATCTGCGAACGGAATTGAAATTTTCCTGACATTTACATGCAATATGCAAATGAACAGTAACAGTGTGTCTAGTTATTTCAATCAAAACCGGAAGCTAGTTTGCGTAATTAGCAAGTGACTATACGGATAATAACATTCCACGTTCGAATTGTCCTGTCGTTAACGCAAAACTAATTTGCATAGTTGTTCTTAAACGCGAGCATGTAATTATTTATGCATTCATTGATCTTTGATAACAAAAAAATTCATAGGAAATGACATATTAATTCCTTTCAATTAGAAATGAGTTGGAGGGGTCTTGAATCTTTGAATGCAGTGGATCATTTGAAGGCTAATCATTAGAGGTGTGCGAGAAACTGAATATATGTACCAGATTGGATCGGGTTGGGGCGAATCGAATCGAATCAGAATTGTTCGCCTTTCCAAATATATATGCATAAGAATTCGAGTCAACCCGGCTCGAACAATGCAAGTCCGACCCAATAGTTTCGGACCCTGGCACATCTATTTTAATTAACATTGAACTAAGATTGTAAAATTTTAAATTAATTGAGATAACTTCGAATTTCCTTTGTTCTGATCATTAAAATATTCAAAGTATTAGAATTTCATATTGCAAAAATACCAATAATAATAATAAAATTCACTTCCCCAAATGATACACTTGGCTATTTGAAATAAATATTTGGTACGATTCAAAATTGAAACACTTGAAAAGTTCAGATTGTTCGAAGTTGAAATTTGTATTCCACTGATATTTGAAACCCCTTGGTGTTCACGCGTCGCGGATCAATTTTCCATGAAACGAAATAGAGAACGTAAGCCGGAAATATTGAGATCGTTTTCAAATTATCCGTCATCGAAAAACAATCACGCGAAAGTGAAACGATTGCGCCATTATTACGAGAATTATCGTATATGTAGCACTTTGTACTCGATCAAAGCATCAACGAACCGTTGCAGCATCCTGTAACGACAGATCGAACAAGAGTTACGATTGAAGTATCATCCATAACGTTGTTTTTTTCCATCGAAATAACAGGCTGCACGTCAACACGCGTCAAAATATCGGACGCATTCTGATGCACTCCACCATCGCGCGTTTAACGTCAACACGTTCTAACTGATTACAAACAAGCGTCGACGAAAGCGCAAACAATATCAAACAAGAAGAAAAACGGTATACACACTTGCAAACAAACGGTAGGTTTAAACGTTTCGGGAAGCAATGGGAAAATAGCTCTACGTGGAAGACTGGCGAACGGTCATTCGTGGTGCGATTATCGATTTTCGTAGAGCTACCGCCATCGATACGATATTATCGATAATATTGTTAAAACATCGTTAAGGTGAATGGAAGCGGGCAAAGTAGAACTTAACGTGAGAAGGAATTAAATTCTATCTCAACCACTCCTCCTTCTTAACGATATTATCAATACATCGTTAGGTATCGATAAGGTATCAATAGCAGCACCTCCAGATTCGGGTACACAAGGTCTAGGTAATGATAATAAAAACAGAACGTAACGATAAACTTAAAAACAAAATCTTAAGGATGAAATTATAAAAACGAACTTCAATCATCAGGATCTCATCCAACCCGGTAGTCTCCTTTTTATACTCTTCAACTTCGTTCAACGAACAACGTGGATAAACTTTGAAACGTGATCAACTCTCGTATACGCTGATATATCTATCAATTTCAACAAGTCGAACCATACGGAAGAGATAATAAATTTATTGCTGCTTCTTCTTCTTCTTTTTGTTCACCGAGGCGTCCACGCCCCAGAGGTCGTACCAGGGTCCGCAGGTATTCTTATCCCTTTCCCGATCAGAGTCCCTGCGTAGCTTGGTCCTGGGAAGAAGGGTCTTCTCAGCCACCGTTTGGTCCTTGACGACGATGCAACTGTACGTGGACTCCTCGTCGGATGCCTCGGTTTCGCTGAAATTCTGTGTCAAACCATCCTCGTCGTCCGTGTACTTCTTCCTCCTCTCGTTCCTCTTAGCCTCGTTGTTCTCCTTCAGCTCCGCCACGATCATGTTTCGTTTCGCTTCCATACTGCGCTTCCGTTCCTTCTCAATGATCGCCTTTCGCGAAACATTCCCCATGAAATAAGATCTCTCCTCCTGATGCATCCTGTACTCGGATCTCTCGACGGCTTTCGGTCGCTCCGCCGGAGTCGGAAAGTCCTCGAAGTAATCGGACTTGTCCGGCACGTGGATTCTTTCGGCAGGTTTCGGTTCCTCCTGACGCGGATCATTCGTGATCGTCACGTCGCTGTTCCTCTTCTCCAGACTCTGACGAGACGTCGGGCTACCTTCGGGGGTATGTTTCTTAGTCTCCTCGGAGCTAGCGTTGTCCTCTTTCGATTCCTTCTTGATCATCTTCGGGATATCGACCAGCGATCTGTGCTGCCAGAGTGCCATACCCTCCAACACCTCGGAGTCTCTCCTGAACCTCCAGAAGGACTTGGTCCTCTTCACCAATTTAGGACTCTTGGACTCCACGTCGAAGGCTCTGCCTGTTTGTATCAAGTGTCCAACCGCGGTCGTCTGACGCGGCAGCAAAGGCTTCCTGTTCTCATCCTTCAGGGTATTGTTGTTCGTGTCGTTCTTCTCCAAACTGTGGGGCCCGTTTCTCTGGAACTTCTGGAGATTCCCTTGGACCAGGGCGTTCTGATAACCGTGCCTCTCGATCACCTTGGTCCTTTCCAGTTTCGTCTCGAAGTTCGACTCGTAGCCACGCTCCTTGTCCACCGACACGGTCTCCCGAACGAATTTCGTCTCACCGTAGATGGCTTCCTCTTTGTCGGAGTAACGACGCTCTCTGTAAAGGCTACGAGGCTCCGTCGGTCTCTCCGGCGCCTCCTCGGACGGAGGTCTTGGTCTCTCGAAGCGACGACTCGACGCTCGCTCGATGTTCCTGTTCCTGTCGGGATTCTTCTCGAACGTCCTCTCCCTTTCGTAAGTCGAGCTCTTCTGGCTCGTCGCGGACGGTTTCTCCATGTAACGTTCCCTCTCTCGGTCGAACCTCTGCGGCGCACGGTTTCTCTCGCAGTCGTTGTACCTCTCGTAAGGCGGGGGAGGTTGCTTCTCCTCCCTGCGTTCGAGACTCCTGTAATCGTTTCTTCTTTCGATAAACTTCGGAGGGCTGTGCTCCCGCGCGTACTTCTGCGCGGTTTGTTCCAGTTTCTGAGCTATGTGCTCCACCTTCCTACCTGTCTCCGGGATGGTAATGGTACTCTCGTCGTCGGTAGCCGATGACGAGGCCGAGGAGGTCTTCTCGTTTTCGTATTTCGATTCTTCCTGAGGTAACGGATGGTAACCGCGACGAGAATTACGTTCTTGCCCGTCCGTTCTGTCGCCGTAATACTTTTTACCCTCGTACTTCTGGTACTCCATCCTGCCGCTGTAAGCGTCTTCTTCTTCCTCCTCTAATTCGATCTCCTCTTCACTCTCCTCCTGTTCCTTCGTTCTCTTTGCCTCGCGACGATCTTGCTCGAGCTGTTCGTTGTTTCTTCTGGTTGGCTTTCTGGATTGCTCCTCGTTGCTCATCATCTTGCTCTTGTGGCTCGAATTCACCCTGCCACGATTCTCGTAGTCGTTCTTCTGCGACCTTTCCGCCGGCTTTTTCCCGGACTTTCTTGACGGTCCGTTCTCCATGGTGCCGCGATCGGAGAATTCTCTGTTCTTGCGTTCCTGGCTGTCGTAATGCCGATTCGATGCGTACCTGGTGTCACCGTTCTCGTTGCTCTGATTCGCGTTCGATTCCGCCCATAGGTCCATCGCGGTTCTGTAGAGATGCCAGCTCTTCTCGTCCCTCGGTATCGTCTTCCACGAATCGTTCTCCCAGTCCTTGCTGTTCGACTTCTCCTCCTTCTGATGCTGCTTCACCACCTCGGTTATTCTATCGGCGCGAGGCTTTCTTCGTCGTTGTCTGCGTTTTCGTTCGGGCTCGGGATGAGTAAAAAAAAGAGAGAGAGAGAGAGAGAGAGAGAGAAGAGAAGAGAAGAGTGCAGCGTACGGAGAGAGAAGAGAGAACCAAGAGCCAAGAGTATACGGTGGATAGGATGATTAGTTATGCGGTTGTTCGAGCTTTGTGGTCGCGGACTTTTATGATAGCCAAGGATGGGGAATACATGGTTGCTGGCATCGCCGGGAGCCCGGAGAGGTGAATGAGCCACCACCACGACGTATTTTATTTCCATCGACCACGATAACGCATGCGGAATCTACAAATCAGGAGAGAAAACAACGTCGTGACTTTGAAAACAAGCGCACTGGGTCGGGCGTTTATCGATATTTCAGGGGGGTGTAACCGTGATATCGTTTCTTTTTATTTCATTAAGAATTTTTTATTCAATTCTTCTTTCAATGTCACGATAATCCTTTGAACTTGGAAATATTCTAAATTCTGTTCTGTAGAGAAACTAGAGACCAAGGTGAAATAACAAAGAAATGGAAGCTTTGTACAAATAATCCAAGCACAGAGGATTATTAGTGGATTTTAAAAATAAATTGAAATTTATTGGAAATTATACAAATTAATGGAATCCATAAATTATACGCATGCACGTAAACGTAGAATTTACTTTTCTACCAGAATGAAACATTAAAGGAGGTCGTTAGATTTATAATAAGAAGCTACTTATCTACGATCTAATTTTCACCTGTACATTGATTAGACAGATACCGACTACCAAGACGACCGGAAATGTTTACAGCAGGAACAAAATATACAAAGCTTAAAGTACACGAGTCAGACAGGCAAAAGCGTTTCTACAAGTTTGTCAACCATTGTCGACTACCCTCGACGAATACTCGGTTAGAACAATGGTTCTCAACCAGGGATGAATTTTAGGATTTCAAGAGAAAAATTCAAGGCAGATATTCTATTGCAAATTATCATTTTCTGTCATTATTATTAAATTTTTCAATAATTCTTACAAATTTAAAAATTTTGATTTGTATTATGATACCATCCTAGATTAGCATTCTATAATACTGTAACATAGTGATAGAAAGGTTGAGAACCATTGGATTAAATTCTTCAGGGTATTCCAAATAAAATTTCATAATGATCGCTTACCTCATAGCCTCGTCGTCGCTATAATCAATGTCAGGTTGAGCTGGTGGTTCATTTGAGAAACCACTGTCGTTGCTGCTGTGAAGAGACGTGACAACTTGAGGGGGTGGAACGGGCGGAGCAGGTGGTTGTATCCTGCGGCCGCCGGCCAAAACAGTGGGCAACGTGCCAGATGGACGGATCTACGATGCAATATGAAAAATTCATTTCATATAAAAGATTTGTCATAGGTGTAGTTCGCGAGGTACGATTGTGCTAGTTTTAAATTGCATTAAATTCCAGTTTATAAAGTTTCTCTGTAAAGTTGAACATCTTTGGTGCTCGTTACTACTTTGAAGATTCTTAACTTTCCAGCAACTTTGATACTCCATCTGGTCGTTATGGCCCCGAGATTTGAAAGCCAGAAGAAGAATGAAGTAAATTTTTGAAGTATTACCCTTTCCGTTCCTTCGAGTAGTTTGAAGATTTCGATGAATTTTCTTTATAGTGTCGTATTAGAACCGGACTAAATATCTCATTAAAAACAATGCCAAATTTAGGAAACGAAATATAAGATAAAATTAAAATTAGGGCTCTCTCCATGGTCCGCCGTTCGAGGGTTAATTCTTTATTTTTTATATTAGAAAATAAAGTTGAAACGGTAGAAACTTCGATGTCAGAAATTATTTAAATATCAATTTTTTAACTGCTAGTATCGATACTTTTTGCATCAAGGCACAATTATAATTTTAGTTGGCGAGAAATATGATTTATTCTCACCGGTTTAGTCTGACGTGCAGTGGGTGTCGCCAAATTGTGAGAACTGTTGCTATTCTGTACATTAGTAGAGTTGTTGCTGTTGTTGTTACTGTTGTTGACGTTGTTTCCTACCCCATGGAATCCACTCGACACTTCATCCATACTGCTCGGTGTCACTGGCGGCCGAGAGGGTGGAGGCTTACAGGGTGGGATTGCCTGTGGCTCCGTTGCGCGACCATTGTTTGCACCGTGACTCGGCGATCTTCACGTGTTATCGTACATTTGATTTTAGTGATAACGCTAACGACATTGATTGAATCTGAATCGTTGAAAACGTCAAGGGATAACAGCGTAGTTTGTCACGGAAGATTCTATATCGTTCAGCAATTGACTTTTATCGATCGTTTGATTTTCAATGGATTCAATTATACTTTGATTTCATTCTAATTTATTTCAAATGATAAGTTAACCTTGACAAATTTTCAACATTTCAGAAACAAGTTTTTTAGGTAAATATAATTAACTAATAAAGTTAGAACGTTGATTATTTATTAAGGGAAAATAGTTGCACAAACATATTCAGTTTGAAAAATATTCAATTTAAAAAAGAGATCTGAAAAATTGAGAAATCATCAGCGACAAAGCAGTGTGATGAAATTGCTCGATTTTTCAGTGGGGGATCATTTAAAAGCTCAAATACACTCCCGAACAATTCACACTTCCTCAGGAAAAATCCCCAGGTTGCGAGATTCCGGGCCCTCGCTATAGGTTTCTTCATGTCCCAGATTTCTACCCCTTCCTCGAGCTCGCTCATTTACCTTGTTATTCTAATATAACTAAAAATTATATTATTTTTTTCTAAATTACTTTTAATATCAATATCGTCAAAATTAAGATTTTCAGATTTTATCACGGGTGTACAAAATAGAAACAATCGATAATTCAAGGTAATTCGACTTCAAGAGATTTTGACATTAAATTTCTGTCGCCATAGTATAGTTGGAGAACTATAACAATGAGATTTAGGAGAGTGGATGCAACAATAACACCAAGACGAGTACGTTTAATGGGGAATAGCCGTATCGACATCGGCCATTGGCCGTTATCGTTCTAGATTAGCGTAATTGCGTTCGGTCCGGTGCAATTGTTAGCAACGAACCATCGTAACAAGATCTGTTCTGATATCGTTTGGTCCAAGCGAACGGAAGCGCAGACTTTCCTGCCTCGGTTAACTTACCCCAGACTATCGTCGATAATAATTTCTGTGTACGCCAGTGGGAACCATCCGGAGCTTTGCGTGCGCAGATTCTCCCCAAATTGCCAGCCCTTCTGACGATCTCCTAATAAGGCAATTTCGGTGAAACATAAGTATCATTTATGATTCCTATTTGCTAAGGGGGTCCAACGATAAGAAATTATAGTTCCGAGGGATTTTTGTGGGTCATAATATTCCATTAGATTTGGCTTATCATAGATACTCTACAAATTGCATATATTTTTTTTTAAAACCATTTTACCGAAATATTTTATATAAAAATTTGCACTCTTCATCCCAGAGGCAGACTAGCTATTGGGAGTTATCAAAAATTCTCGGTGGTCCCTTAAGGATTTTAGGGTGTAATTAATTAAAATTAAGACCCATCATGTCACCAATCTCTCGATAAACATCTAAGTCCCAGTCCACCCCTGCTTCGTTCTGTCGAAGTGTCTATTAGTATTAGACGGTAGTTCAAGGTGCTCTACTGTGTCTGAGTACCATCAAGATTGTCAGGGTGCCAAATTGAGAAATGGACTGGAGAAGCACTCAAAAGGGAAATGTTTCAATTGAAAGTCATTTTCCCCTTTTGGTAATTCTAGTGTTAAAATAAATCTATTTTACGCCCCTATTCAATATGGATCTTTTTATTTTCTAAAATTTCGTATTTCAAAGAATTAACCTTCTCGTTCATTAAAAACTTGATAATAGTAATTATCGCCCTCTACAAAACTCATTAATTTCCTCTAATGCTCACGAAACAATTCCGGTTTATATTCGACTGACCTACGTACAAACGAATTCTAGCCGTCTTTCGTTAATCCGCGAGTAGAACCAGATACGTTGTGGTCAGACGAGCGTAATACCACGAGGAAACGCGAGAGTATGGAACGTGGATGGTTGGAAATGTTCAGACATATCCAGTACTCACCCATCAGCGCGATGAGATCGCCCTCCAGGAAACTCAGCTGATTTTCCCCGGAGCTCAAATAGGCAAAGAGAGCCCTAGCGAGGGGTGCGTCTCCCCATCCGCTGGTACTCACCCCGGTACCGCTGCCACCGCCACCCGCGCTACCGCTGTTGCGTGACGCTGGGGGCGCCATAGACCTCGGCCTTGGTGGTGTTTCCGGGACTTCTGCGAAAATATGAGCAGAGAAACGATTAACCCGGCTCGTTTCTCTCGTAACTTGCACGTGGCGCGAGAGGGTATTAGGAACGGGTTCGAGCGAAAGGATCTCCGATAAGGATTCCGCTCTCTTCAGCCCTATTTGCCAGAATTCGTCGATGAAGAAAATAGGTTAACAAGTTCGGACTGTCGCGATGTGAACGAAACGAATCAATATAGATTCGTGTGTTAATGAAAGAATTTTTAATCAATTTTAGTAAATGGTTCGTGCTACGTTTGTTGAATTTCAAAATTGTTGAACAAAATTGAAGAGACTTTAAAGGCACGTGTTGATGTATATACATGAAGGATGACCTACCTGGATCTAATGATAACGTGGAAGCGTGTAAATTGGCCTCTGACCTTGCTCTAGACAGAGCAGAGGGAAGATGGGAAGTAGGGCCTTGATAAGTGGTGCTTGGCACGTTTCCGGAAGGAGGTCCAGGTCGAAGTTCCAAGCAAGAGCTGTCCATGCTTCTGGTCTTCCTTAATTGCGAGCTCATGGTCAGCTCGGAACCTCCGTTCTCCTCGTCCTCGGGCCAGAATGAAACTTGCTAAAGATCAAAATTCCAAATATTAATGATCGGCATCGCTAATTAAATATACACGAATAATTAAAAGACAACGATAGAAGAATATTATTTTGAATCGGATTAATATTATATTAATAATTTATGGACACAACGAATCGTCTTGGCATTATTAATCAAATTTTAGAAGACGTGTAAAACACTGGAAGAACAAATTTTGTAAGTGCCTCCCCCAGGTACAAATAACGATGAAAGGGTTAACAGGTTAACAGGAGTTTAACTTTGAAATTTCGAAAGGAGCAAGAAGCGATTATGAAATATTCGAAGCATCGCTCACCCTGAGCCTGGAAGCGAACATGTCTTCTACGGATTGGGGTAAATATTCCCTGGTGGCAGCTACCTCGCGCCACTTATCAACGGAGGGATGAAGAGCAGCTAACGCGACCTCATGAAAACTCGCATAATGTTTAGCCAAGGAGCACTGCCGCTCGAGAACAAAGCCGTACCTCCTTCTTTCTTGAGTCATCGCCTGGAAAAGAAAAAACAAGGGAAATATGCCTCGCCTCTTGCGTTGACCCGAATTCTTCCTTCTGCCTAATTAATTCGCTCGAACTTAAAGTATCTCCCGGTGTCGTTTGTCGGCAAATATGGATGTTGCTGTTGAAAATTTCGGAACCGGTATCCGTGTCCCGGTTTCTCTTCAAAAGCTTGTTCATTACACACTTACGTTCTTTAAACTCTGCTCACAAAAGGCGTCCAGCTTAGACTTCTCCTCCTCGAGGATCTGCATGTTCTTCAACTCTTTGTCCATCGCTAAGCCACTCTTACTGGCGCCCCTCGACTTTTTCCTCTGCTTTTTCATGGTTGCCGCCGCCTTGCTGTAGGTTTCGGACCTCGTCTTGTGCTGTTGCAGAAACTTCTTCTGCTCGCTCTGAGAGAGAAGGTGTCGGTGAATTATTCTGTCTCGTCGAGCGATAATATTACTAAACACTCACCTGTACTACCTTGGTGTCCTTCTCTAGGTTCGTCTCCAGGGGGACCAACAGGTCGACGTAGAACGCTTTCAGCTAGAAAAAGCATCAGCGAAAGGTTGATTTAGACGGGAAACTCGAAACGTCGGAAAATTTTAATGCGCCAGAGCGAATTCGAAACGAGCTTAGGTAACGAGGGATGTTTTTTTCTTAAAGTTTCTTGGCTAGCTAAAAAGGACCCCTGGTTGTCGTACGAGTCGTTGTTTGACCCGTTTCTTCAGCTACAATTAAGAAACATGCTTTCCGAGCAAACTTTCATGAGTAATTTTCACGGTATAAAAGTTGTACCTTTCTTGAAGTGTAATCTGGGAAATTGCACTCTGCAAGTTCTTTCGTTGGTTCTAATAATTATTTGTGGAGAATAAGACAATCTGGATTTTGAAATAATAATGAAAAGATTTGTCGGTGGAAATTCACGAGGATCGTGTTAGACGTGTACCAGCAACGAAAAGTTGACTTGACATTTTCTTTTTTTTTTTCTTTTTTTTATTTGTGTTCCCTTCGTGGCTTAATGGACATTGATTAGAGACAGCATTCCGATCAGAAATACGTTTCCACGAGTGGGTAGACTTCTACCGATGGTCGATCGCTGCTCGTGAAAAGCGAGCGTCGAAAAGGGAAGAGAAATGCGAGTTGAAGTGGCGTTGCTGATGCGTTGAAAAGATCCTACCGCATCCAAGATCTATTTTACTCGATCAATAGTTTCTCTGACCCTTCCAGAAACTTTGGGTTATAAATGAATTTTGTTTTACTTTGATTTCATAACATAAAGGTATAATAAAATAACACCTATGGTGTATTAAATATTTTTAATTAAAATTGATTGGTTTTTCGCTGAAACAATAGATGGACCAATTTACAACGTACATGATCGAATTTTAATTTTCAATCACTTTTATATGAAAAAGGTAATGAAGTTTTTGGTTTGTTGAATTTGTAGTTTATGGGGTTGTATAAGCATTTCCTGAAAATGAAGAAAAAATTCAAGGTAAAATCGATACGTTGTAAGTAGATCGATTATTTGTTCCCAAAAAAGAATCAGCCATTTGTTTCTTCGAGGCTCTGGGTTTTAATAATGTGTCTCATTATCGTTATCACCTTATTATTTAAATCATTTACACTATACTTTTGTCAAATAAATGCATCAATTTTACAGCAGGATAATGGAGGAGGAATGTAAAAAATGTTGAAGCAGTATGGGTGAATATATTGGTGTGCTCGAAACATTGTAAAGCGGCATTATTCTTGCATCGCGTTGGACGAACGTCAAACAAATCACAGATTTTTCGCAAACCCCATGCGACTCTCGAATTCGCTACAACTCTTCTTGAAAGCGACATAACGTACACATACATATACGCACACACACCACGATTTTATTTAGGCGTTTGACAGTTTTACGTTCGGCTTTCTCGTCGTTTCGTAGAACTACGTCCGAGTTATTTATTCGTCGGTGCTTTTCTCTTCCCTTTCATTTTTATATTTCGCTTTTCCCCGTTACGAGCCGATCAAAAGCAAATTTCCCGGAAAACTGTTGTTTTTCTTCGTGAAACGAGCGATCGCTTTTCCCCCGGTTAAACACGCTCTTATTTGTAAAGTGTCGGATTTAATTAAGCGTTTCCGAACACCGGGTAATTTGAATGCCACGTACGAAAGTTTTACGCCCGATTTTATGATCCGTTTCCGGCTCTCGATACGAGTTGCTTATTTCATTGTTCAGCAATGCTTTTTACCATTGCGATACCTCTGAAAGAGGAATCCGCCGGTATTATCCCTTTGTTCCTCGAGAACGCGTGTCAGCGCGTACTGATTCACGTCAAACACCGAAAACCCGTAGAATTTTATTTGAATTTCCAACGATTTTCGATCCGCGCAACAAAATACTCTATCTCTACAAAAGAATAATATAGCGAAATATCGGTGCAAGAAATATTCAAATGCTAAATTGAATGTTTAGTGTAAAAAATTTCATTATCGACTGTTCCAATTTTTCCCCTTCGATACAATTTTTCTTTGAAAGAAAATCGAGCAGAAATTTTATTAAAAGGGGGAAAGAAAGAATCGACAGCAGGGAAGAATAAAGTCGTGTTCGAGTTAATAGATTCACGCTATCCAATTTCCTTAACAAAGCAAAACACTTTTCCCGTCAAATATCTCTTCTTTGGGATTCGAGAGGAAAGGAGACTTTGTTTCTTTATCACCCCTCTTCGTTCCTCTTCATCACCCTCAAAATATTGGGTAGATGGTAGATTCGGATGTTGTAAGAGGTGACTCAAGAATGGAGTATACCTTTTTTTTATTCTATTACCAAATTTCATACGAAAATTTCATACAATTAATAAAATTAACAATTTTTCAGAAATGTAGTTTCAAACAATGCAAAATATTATTCTACTTTAAAAATTTATTTTAAAAAAATTTTCAACATATAATCACAGATGTTTTAAAAATTTCCAAATTTCATAATACATTATAAAATAATGCAACAAAAGGTTAATAAGGGATAACGACTGGGATGACCCAATTTGCGAAAGTATTTAAATTCCAAATAGTCTAAGAAAACGCGCACGTATATCGAGTATGAAGGAACATTAATTTACCGGTGACCTCGATAAACCCTTCCGTCAATTAAAAATCCGTTACCAGGAGCCGAGAGGTTCGCGTTACATTACCGGGAAAACGGGCTTTTCAAGACGGACGTGAAAATCCAGTGTAAAAAGCGTAGCGAAGTCACGGACCTTTCGAGTCGAAGCAAACACCCCTGGCCTCTCTCGTTCCTCGACTCTCTCACCCTCGGTGTGCAAATTTGAACGGCTGAAAACTCGCGTCAGCGCCCTCTGCAGCAAATCTCACCCCTCCGGTATCCACATCCCTTACTCTCGACGTCTAGCGGGTTGAACCGGATGGTTCGCTTTCATCGAGCCGAATCCTGGCCACTTCCGGCTGCCGTACGTCAATGGAACGTCTAACGTTGCCCGACGAGTGCGAGTTTCACATCCCTCGTTTCAATATTCATTAGGCTATGCGAGGAAGGGTTTTACTTGGCGTTTTTTAACCGGGAACCGCTTTTTTTATCGGATTAACAGAAGCAATACGGTTGCTGTAATTGTAAGTGGCCCCCGATCGATCCTCGACTTGTTAATTAAGGGACGAATTGGAAATGATGTTACCGAGATTTTAAGGGGCACACTTGAAAGTTTCAATTACCTCGTTGTAGATAAAGTATTTTTCAATAATTTCCTTTTTTTTTTTTTTTCATTGTTTTATATTTTTGTACATTTTCCGATTCAATTTGTCATTTCACGAAGGACTCGTCGTATCGTTTCCTGAATTGTTCTTTTAAATTTGAATATTTTTACGTCTTTCAATTTCAGTTTCAATTTGTTTTATTAGACTCTCGCGCGCACGGGGAAAGAGAAGTTTTTGAAAACGACACTCGCGTCAACACTTTCGATTCGATTGCCACGTCTCGAGAACGTCTTCCTCTTTCTCCGTAAAAAGGGAAAACAAGGCTGGCCGATTGGCTTCCTTCCAACGGGAGAGATTCTTCGAACAAAAAGCTCGCCGTATCGTACCTTTTGCTTGGCAGAAAAACCCGAGACCGGCTAATATATTGACGCGGTATTTTCGCTGATTCATATCTTCCAGATTTTCCGGAGAGCGCGATTAATGGGTTCCGGGAGAATTCATACCGAGTCACTTTCCATTTTGTAACGTCGGATATCAATCAGAGGAAGGGATTCGACAAAGGTGCGATGTTTATAATGAAGTTTCCACTTGGTAGTCTACCTCGGAAACTTTTACTTTCCGAAGTTCGCAGACTTGCAAAACTCTCTGGCATTCGAGACAAGTTCAAAGGCCTTTCAGGAGCGTGATCATTAAATAACTTGTTGCTGAAAGGGCCACTGCCATTTCATTTCGTGTTTCCATTCTGCAAAAATAATTATTAACCCGTTGAATGTTGCCAAATTCAATATAACCGAATAATGGATGAAAAGAAATTTTGTATTATAAGCAGACAGGTGCGAGAACCCCAATTACGGCTACCCGATACTCAGGTTAGATTATTTAGGGTGTCTACAATAATATATATGGCCATTTTCACTCTAACATTTAAATCATGTAAAAAATAATTATTTAGAGGTAAATGGTACAGGTTATTAAATGTGTTTTTCGAAAAGCTCCCTTCAACCCTTTCGTACCAATCGATTTATAACATGGAACAAACAGACAGTCAGATGGGTTCGAACCTCAATAATGGTTCGATTGAAAAACTTTGCAAAGGGTCGTATTGAATAACCATATCGTTGAACACCATAGAAGACCCTCCGACTCGCGACCTTTCACTATGGCCCATTGGATTCGCCACTATTCTACGGGAAAGGGTCCATCGGCCCTTTCCCTTTTTTTGCAGACGATCGTTTCATCGGCAATAGCTTCAAAAGGTTCAAAAGGTAATGCAAGCAGCACGAATTTCAGCCAGACCACTCGAAGGATTCATCTTCGCCTACCCCCTTCGCGCTGTTCCACGAAACCCTTTCCCTCTCTCGCCCCTTTGGCCAATCCATTTAAGAACATAAAGCTGTTCAGTAACTGGATGTTTTCTTTCGCGCGATGCGGCTTCTAGAATTGGAAATGGCAAGCTGAAAGGTTTCCTGCTTTTGATAGATGAAATTTTCTAAGCTGTGTCGTTAATCGTAAGATCAGCTAAGTTGTCGGGTTTCTTAAACGCCTCTTTAGCCTTTTCTTCCTTCAATCTCATTACTTCAGTCAATTTTAGTTTTTACACTCTGTATAAATAATAAATAAGTTGTATGGGTTAGAAGTGTCCTATAAAAAGGGAATTAAACAGACTTTTGATTGTCGTAATAATTTTGATGTCGACTTTTAATCTAGGGTAATAAGTAAATATGCTTCAAATTATATTGTGTTTGGTCTAATTAGAAAAACTTCATTGAAAAATAAAAGATAAAAATAGTTTTATCGTTGCATTGGTATTGTCTCATCGATATTCCAATTTAGATCAGATTACTTAT